TTAAATTATTCAAGTCTCGAAGAGGCCCGAAAGACAATCAGGGGTGTTCAGAAACTATTGTTTTTCCTCACCCCACACGTGCTAGTAAAGCGTTTTGCATTTCATAGCTATTATACTAATCAATGAAATACAGAAAATATGTAGAAAAGACCAACACCTAGACAAAACACATAGAAACTAAATTGTGAAATGCAGGGATCATATTACTCATACCTTTCTCCATCCACTCAAAAATTTTAACCTCAAGCACTGTTATGCAATATGAAATACAAGAATCCATCTGGTCTATATCTCTTATTGTCAATGTTGTGTCACTTATGGCTGCAGAACTTTTCTGAATTATCCCAGCTATACTACTACTTCATCAAGTTATGGAATTTCGCTGGCTAGTTCAACAAAATTACACAATTGAGAAACCAACAGAGTATGATGGGAAAATACCTTGGGAGGCGTATCAGACACAGTTTAAAATAATTAACAAGGTGAATGCATGGAGTACACAACAAGCTGTTCATCTCGTTTTATATTTTAATAGGACCAGCTTTAACAACATTAATCAATCTTCCAACGGAGAGCCACAACAACTATAAGGCATTACTAGCTGCTTTATGAAATAGGTTTGTAATATCACATAAGAAAGACGTTTCTAAGGAACGTTTAGAATAGGGAGGAAAGCCAAAGCCTTAGCCAAACTTGCTAAAGATGTGAAAACACTTGCCAATTACCTTATTCATATGAAATTATAGATTTATTAGTATGTAATCAATTCATAGGTACTGTAGTGGGTGGAGATATGCAAATTAGGCTAAAGTGAAGTAGGTGTACATCTTTAAAAAGCCTTCCAGCTGACAATGAAACTTGAATTAATTGAAGTTGCAGAATAAAACTTAAGCAATTATCCAGGAAATATGGGTTTGTTAGATCTATAAATATAGAAACACCAATTGATGGAATTCTGAAGAACTTAATGGTGTAATTAGACAAATATCTTTTCATAATGCAAGAAGTAAATCACTGGACTGTAATTCTTTGAACTGCAACTTGAAACACATTTTGCCAGCAACTGTAGACAAAGGCCTGTGGGAAGTAAATCCCCACACAAAGGAAGACAGAAAATGGGTATTGTTATGACTGTAAAAAACATGCACATTACAACTAATACTATGGTGAGTTAACAAAATATAATACACCAAGAAAATGACGCATTGAAGATGAGAGACAGAGTCCACAAATTTCCCAGAAACAACACAGAGTTAACCAGACATAAGAAAACAAGAGTGTAATGTTCTTATGGGGCGCTGTTCAGCTGCTAATCCACCCCAGTTGAGTTAAGGAGTTCATTATTTTAAGAAACCAGTTTGCAAGTCAGTGGATTCATCTTGGGGAAGTCTTGCAACATGTTGATCAGCACTGGTACAACATCAATCATTACTAGACCTAATCTGACAATGAAAGTTGGGAAACTACCTAAAGAGATGAAGTAAGAAGATTGATTGATGCAAATAGCAACTGGTCATAAAGTTCCACAAAGAGGAAGGCCCGGCATGGCCAGGTGGTTAAGGCACTCGACTCGCAATCTGAGGGTCGCGGGTTCGAATCCCTGTCACACCAGCCGTGGGGGCGTTATAATGTGACGGTCAATCCCACTATTCGTTGGTAAAAGAGTAGCCCAAGAGTTGGTGATGACTAGCTGCCTTCCCTCTAGTCTTACACTGCTAAATTAGGGACGGCTAGCGCAGATAGCCCTCGTGTAGCTTTGCGCGAAATTCAAAAACAAACCACAAAGAGGAAAGATAGAAATCACCCTCACTATGGAAAACTTCAATATTCCTTTTGGGTACTTGACATATAGAAGTATTATTTAATGGAATAAACTTCAATGTCAAAAAGTATGTGAAGTTATGCTCACTTCAGATAGTTTTGCAGTCAGTGACAAATAAATCCTTATGCATTACACAACAATTATAACACCATAGGTTGAACTCTCAGTAACAAGAAGGATATTTATGATACCACCAAGAAGTGAAATGCTCATTGCAGGACTTATTAGGAACAATTTTAGATCTAGTGACTGAGACATTGTAAAACCAAACAATTTAGACTGTCACGAGAGATTAATGGTTGGAAGAACACTCACGAGTTTCAAGATTAAGGATGTCATTATTAGGAATATGAACTTGAACAAGTAGTACTACTGTGATATGAAGACATATCATGTTTTCCATCTGATTTAATTATGTCAAAGGTTTTAGATTATTTTGTTTATGTGGCTTGCATATAACGGTGGTAACACAAGTCGTTGAGATTACCTTGTTCTAGTTGATTTGTTTCTCTGCTCTCTGTAGTAGACAATGTACATTCTACCTGAGAGAACATTGCAGTAATCTATAGCATGCAGGTTGAAAGGATTAGCAGTATAAGTCCTTTTCTCGACAAGTCGAAGTTGCCTGAATGATACAGCGTCCCAAAACTGTGAGAGAACAAAGGTCACGAGGTGATGCTGTTGACTGGACAAATAAAGAAAATTTACCTGTTGAATTCATCCAGTTCTACGAGGAGAAGAATCGACTGTCATTCCAAAATTTAATAAGAAATTAGAGTCAACGTTACAAAATTCACATAATTTTAAAACATTTATTGAAGCCATAAACGCCTTCCACTTTAGCTTACTCCTTTGTCTTGCAAACCTTTTCGCCGTCAATACCGTTGCTAGATACATAAATATTAACGATCGGCACTTGTGTATTGTCGAGGATTTATTAAATTTTTTAAATTGTGTAAACATGAAACGTTGATTTTAATTATTAATTAAATTTTAGACAATACACAAGTGCCGATCATTCATACTTAACTGTCACTCCATCTGTACAAGTGTATACACTGTGCTTTCTGTTTGCTTTATGTAATATAGATTTTGTTCATTTATTCAACTTAATTATTTAAAACTTAAAGAAAAAAATCAAGATACCAACTACTGAACATTTTCCTTACTGCTTGACTGAATCTGCTGTTATAGTGGGATTACTTATCTTATGGGAAATTTGTTTTATCTGAAAATACCACACATCAATACCAAAAAATATCAGAAAAATGTGATATCTAGAGGTTATGACCTCCCCTATTTTGAATAACAATGAACAGTCACGTGGTTAGCACTAGTCATTTTGGGTAAATCTAATGTTTCCTTTGGATTCACACTGTTTTATTAGCTTTTTTAGGTGGCCAGTTGATGAGAAGACATCCTTTAGGAAGAAAATCAGTTACTCAATTCACAGGTCCCGTAGAAGGTGATCATCCTTGTCCAAGTAAGTACACACAGTGTGTTTTGTGTCTATTAATAAATAAAGATTGTTCATTTTGCTTTACACATTGTGTTCAATCTCATTATTTTTCTTAGTATAAAACACAGTCAATGTAGTTAAACCCAGACTACTTTGTGTTTCACCGTGTTCGATCCTCCAGTTATAAAGCAAATCTACCTAATACTCTTTAAGGAAATTAGTTAACTTGAGGATACCACAAATCCACTATAACCTTGTCTGAAACAAAGACAAGTAAATTGATAAACCGCAAATAATATTTTCAGTGGAAAGATTCTGTCTTTTTTTAAATAAAAGTGTATGCAGTTAACATATAAGATATGTTTTAGAAAAAAAACACTAGGTTTGAATTTTAAAGTCACTGAACACACTTTGCATTTTTATTTTGTTTGTTTATAATAATAAAAGAACACAATATCTATCAGAAGTATGATATCAGAGAAACTAGTTTCGACACATTCGTGCGTCCTCTCCAAACTGAAAAGGACGCACGAATGTATCGAAACTAGTTTATTTGATATCCGACTTCTGACAGTTTGTTCCGTTTACTTTTTGTTTGTGTTCTTAACTAGATCACAAGAATCCAGGAGTCTACCTGCTGCACTTAACAGCTATAAGATTGTTCTCCGTGTGCAAGGTAAAATATTTATGACGCAATATAAGTGTCCAAATAAACAGTATATAACTTCCGTGACTGCATGGACCCTGCTACGGAAAGTAATGATTCCTGTTGAACTTAATACATGCTTTTCCTGATTGAATAAATTACATTACTTATAAACACCTCATAATTTATATAATTAAATAACTTCATTCTTAGGTTTAAAAGAAATGAAAAAACGGTTTCATGTACACTTCTTAAAAAATATCAGTCTTCAAAGAATAGGTACAACCCCATGGAAAACATTGTTATTTCGACGTATTGTGGGGAATACCTTGAGATGACTGATTGTGGTTTCATATGCTTGCTTAGACCACTAAAAGTTATATAGCTAAGCATCGAAATTGCAAAATGGTGGGCTTTAGAAACGTTCTTCATTTGTGGCTTGAAACTCTAGGAGTTAATTATGCTATAGTTTATTATAAATAAAGAAATTCGCTTTTAGATTCGCTAACAATATGACTCCAGTTATTTTGTATATTTATACATATATTTTTGAATTTAAAAATGAATCATCAGAATTATGTATTTTACGTACATTGACATAAATATGTTATTCTGAAACCAAAAATAAATATTCTGCAAATTAAAAAAAATTGACAAATAATTACAGTTCTGACTTTTGTAGATTATCACAGTTTGAATTTTCTTTTTTGGCGGAGAGGGGGTGAGTTTGGAGCTACATAATGACAAACGCTAGTTTGCTCCAGACGAAGAAAAATTTTACCTTTCGAAAGTGCTCGAGGTTATAGGGTTTGAAGGTTAAAGTCTTTCATTGATTTTTTGAACTTATGTTTTCTTAACATCATGAATAAATCTGTTTCAAGCGAAAGTTTACAAATCGTTTTATACATAAAACAAAAACACCGTACAAGTTAATGTATGAACTCCAGATTTAAAATGGAATTACATTAGTACTATTAAAATATACAATTTGTTTCTCAATATTTCTTCTAACAGAGGGCGATAGTAGCCGCCTAGCAACATCTGTTATTTGCAATAATAAATTTAGCCTAGCCTGTACTCGTAGGTCAGATTCATAGGGTTGGATATGTTTGTAGAATAAGAAGTTAGCTCTTAGTATGGTAAGTTTATTTTATTTCATTATTTATAATAAAGATCATTGTTAGTTTACTGGTACCATTATTATTTTGAAAGTAATATGCAAGTTTATTAATATCAATTATTGTACTATACTGTTAGTACGGTCTACAAATATAAATTACAATTCATGTATTAAAAACATAGACATCACATTTTTAATATTGGGACTCTATGAGTAATTATGTACTATGTAGTAACTAACATGTTAAAAAACTACAGTAATATACACCTAAGTGTTACTTTGAGGCTAAATAACGTTATCACAGTGTCAGTGATTTCCACAGTATATATTTTATATAACCTGAATTTTCCACTTCCTTAGCAACCTAAATGTAGAATGTTGATAAATAAATTTTCTACCAACACTTAAACCGTCAAGAGAATAAAACAATAGGCTAACTATTATAAAGTGACTACATTTTCTAAACCAAAACTGGGGATGCTTGTATAAAAATTTTATACCTCAAACTGTCGTAATTTTATATGTAGATAGTACAGGAGAAGCTTTCTGTATTGGTGTTAGTTGTATTTATCTGACAAATGCATCTGTGTTATTGTTATAAAAAGATCATGAAAATGTTCTGTGACATATTCAAATTCTTAGCTGTGGAAACTGCATCATGTTATCATATGAGAGTACTATATTTAAACTAATAATAATAATGATAAAACTGTCTGAATGTTCATTCCTAATGTGTTTCTTCCTTACATTTCATGATAAATATAAGAAATGAAATGGAATTTGGGGGCAGTTGTTTTATAAGTTTGGGACACTTTTGAGGAAGTTTTTTTTTTCTGAAGACAACATTCCTCATTAAAGGACTGCTCCTGAAAATTGTGGATGTATGGTCACCCTAAACTGTTAGTAAGTTAAATAGATTATTTAAAATGTGATATTCCTCAATCCTCTTAGTCAGTTGAATCTTTTGGAATTTACTTATTCTACTGATTTTAGTGTTGTAAATGTGTAGGCTTACCGCTGTTCCATTGGGGGACACAATTTGAAACTAAATAGAAAGTGTTTATTTTACTAATGGATTATATAGAAATATCAAACTCACATATAGATTATTTATTTTTCCAGCTGCAATTACTATAACTTTTAACTTGTATATGTGGTTTGCTAATATACACAGATTTTTGATTATGTTAGTAAGTGTACCTTACCTTTTAAAACAGAGTTAACAAAATTGTTGAACAGTAAATGTATAAGTACTGTAAAGAAGGCATAAATATAATTACTTTATAATTTGTATATGTTTTTAGGCTTACTTCATACAAAATATTGTTATTACACATACAAAATGCATAGATTTTATGAAGTTGTATGCACCGTGAAGGCAGACTATGACATTTGGAATAAATCAAGTTACGTAAGTTAAAGCATTAGTAACTGGTGCATTTGTGTTAACTTTATGCCATGGCTGTATAGTCATACAGTTTTTGGATTAATCTTTCTCACATATTGTAAACCACAGCTCAATGAACATTCTTTGAAGTGTGAACTTTGATTAAGTATCAGAACATTTTTAAAGAGAAGTAATATAAGTTTTCCATAATATGTTTTTGACAGTAACTTGTTGATTTAAACCTATAAGTTTTTAGTATAATTGTATTTGTATTTGATACTTTCAGTTGGGCACTATAGCATTTCAAACTGTGGAATATAGTATGCCATGGTAAACGTATACTTTTATTATCATTGTCATCTTCAAGGATATATAATGAATGTATGTTATCATAATTTAGATCACATGTTTAATATAAATGGAAACCCACTCAGTAGAAAGACTGAAGAAAAGGATCTTTACATAATGGTAGATGTGTAATATGCAGGCATACCATATTTATTTTATGTGATGTAGTATTATTTTTTTTCTATGTTATTAACTATTTATTTTGCACTCTGTTATGGTGGCTATGCATGATTCAGGATGTCTAATATTATCTTGTTTTAGTCATCTCAGCCATCTGTTCTTTTGTTAGATTATGTCCCCTGCCTGCAAAAATATTTCAGTGTGCATCTTGAGCCTGGGTTGAACTAGTTACAACAGAAATGTTTTTTGCTGGCTAAAGTATAATGTTACTGAATCTGATAGTTGAACAATGCTGTCAAGGAACAGAGGTCACATGGTGACAAACAAAGCAAGTTGATGTTTGAAATACAGGTGTTTTCTTTGTATCAGATATTTCCCAGAGAGGAGACCTTTTTGGGATTATTCAGCATTTAGTGTTGAGGTAATCTGTCTTGTGAGAAGGAAGACTGCAAGACTAACTGTTACATAACTTGGAGTGAGAACTGTCTGTCATTGCATGTGGGTAGGCATTTTGAGTTATTCTTTTGTGAATAAAGATTTTTGTTTGTTTCACCTAACTAAAATTTATCCAGCCTGTTCACTTTCACATAAAACAAACACTGAGCTCAAATACTTTTAATCATAAGAAGCCTCATAATTTTTTCTGGTCAGATTCTGCTATTAGTCCAGATAATTCTACATGATACCTGTCAGGAAATCAGTTTTTATACCACAGATAGTTACTTGGGCAATCAAAGGAATGTTCTGTTGCTAGTTTAGAATGTACTTATAGACATACTGGTTATAAGTCAATAGAGATAATTATTTCTATACATACTACTAGTTAGGCCCCACTAGAAATATTACTATTTAGGTTTTACCACATATTTGTTTTACCAAAATTCCTGGTGGTAAAGTTTCATTTGTTTTTAGCCAGAATAAAAGATATGTTTCACTGTGTACAGTTTTGGCCTCTATCCAATAAAGGATATTGATTTGTTGGAAAGGGTTCAGAGGAAAGATACGAAGATGAATCTGGAGATTGAAGGGTTATTGTATAGGGGGATAGACTAAGTTCTCTTTAACTTATTTTCTTTGGAATAAAGAAGGGTAAATGGTGATCTTATTGAAGTTAATCTGGTGTATCTGTAGGATAAGGTTTCAAATTTCTTTGTGCTGAATTCTGAAAACAAAAGGTTACCATCAGCAGTAGTGAGGGATGGCACCTTATAAGAATTTAAGAAGGGAATTGACAATTTCATGAAAAATACAGAGAGGATTTAATTTTTACTTTCTCTTGGGTGGTGGTTGTAAAAGGACAGCCTTAAAGGACTAGATTGGTCCATGCCTTTCTGTATTTTATGTCTGCTAAAATTAGTATCTTTTTTGTTAATAATAAAATTTTAGTATTGTATGTTATGTTTTTTTTTTCTTCCAGCTAGACTTACTTAGATGTTCTTTGGTGTCTTTTCTGTTTGATGCCCACCAACAGATCATTTTTAAAATAACACCAGTAATCAAATAGAATAATTAATAATAAAACATCATACGATATTTATTTAGGGAATTCTGCGATATTAAACAATATTTTTTCTTAATAAATCTTCATCTTTGTGGCGATGAGTTCCGCATTGATACTTATTTCTTTGCTTTAAACTGTGCCACATACTTTCAGTATTTTGGGTACGGCTACATGTTTCAAAATCTACAAAATTTTCACTGTGATTTGCAGTTTTATGCCAGTAAAAATAACCTTCCAAATTCAGGATGTTGCTATATACTTTCCAAGGAAAAGATCATTTTTGTACTGTTGGTGGGCACCAAACAGAAAGGATCCACTTTTTGTTTACATTGTTAGTGTTAGGTGAAATGAAGTTTCAGTAGATATGACAACAAATTAAACTTTTATTTGAGAAGAACTACTAGAGTGAAATTTAATGGTTTTTAAAGGACCTGGTTAACAGGTGTAAAACAGTTAATGACGAGTAGTATGGACAACCTGCATAGAAAACTTGGGTGGGTGACAACTCCTGTAGACCTTCATCAGGAGTTCAGTATCATAGTAGTTAAAATACAGTTACATTACTTATAAATACAATGCTTGTTTTTTTCTCACCTAATTAATGGTTGATTATTTCTGTATTGGAAATTTTACAGTACTTGAAAATATTAAAGAAAGCAGTTTACCACAATTTTAGAATTTTTATTACAAAATTAATTTCGTTGATAATAATAAAAGTATAAAATTAATGTACATTATTAAAAAGGAAAGAAGGACAGTTTAATCATTAATGAAGAGATTTAGAAAAAATGCCATAAAATAAGGGCCTATTGTTTTTTAATTTCTAGCGAGCATCTGTTTTATAATATTTTTCATTTTGTTGACTTATTACTTGCCCCCCAGTGGCACAGCGGTATGTCTGCGGACCTACAACGCTAGAATCCGAGTTTCGATACCCGTGGTGGGAAGAGAATAGATAGCCCATTGTGTAGCTTTGTGCTTAATTACAAACAAACAAAGACTTATTGCTTGAATACATTGGACATATGCTGCATTAAATAAACTTTTTTATAAGAGACTCAATCGTAATGAAACTTTGTTAGGAAGTTCCCTTTATGATTTTGAAAAATCGTGCGAAGTTTCATCCAAATCGGACTTAAACTGTGGGAGAAGTTTTGCGGACGGACTGACACTAGCCTCTTATATACATATATAGATTAAACAAAATATAAAAGTTCTTTGGTTTTGTCAATAGATGGCGATAGCTTTATCTTTTAAAGTAAACCGAAACATTTTCGTTGCCCTCTGCGAGCATAGAAATGTTTTTAACCGTCATTACAGTAATTCACTCTCACAAACCTTTTATTTCAGCTCTATTGGATTCAGAGTTAATGAGATACGAGAATATGTTGGCATATTTAAAAAAATTATATTACGTATGCTAATTATCTTATTTGTTTTTGGGAATAGTTTTTATTATGTTAAGAAATAATAGAATGTTATTTGCACTATGACCCTTAGTTTCAGTCATCACGGTAAAATTGCTACAGCCCCGATATTCTGCTTAACTACTTATAAGGTGAGCTTCTGTATTAGGCTAACAAAAGTGTTCATAAATATTTTAATCGTCACAATCTTTGCTAATACAGTAGTTTTTCAGTATGTTCGTATGATAGTTTTACTG